TTGAGTGATTAAGAAGTTAATGCTAAATATAAGCCGTTTAAATACATATAAATTGTTCAAAAATTAAGTAGAATATAATGTAATATTCTAAAACTAATTTGACTGGAAAATCACTTAGAAAATACATCTTTTCATCTTAGAAATGTGTTCTTTTAGACATACCTTTTAATTAACGTGTGCCTTTTGAGACACGCCTTTTTTATCATTATAAATAGACCCCAATTTTGGGATATCATGTGCTATTATATTGTTGCATAATTACTTCAAATTGTTTTTAGAAATTATTTTGAGTCCAGTTTTATATAAACTAGCACGATAACACTAGCACCTATGCAGATCATTGTCATCTTAAGGAAAAATAATCAAACTCTTGCCTCGACCTAAATCTCATTTCGTGCATTTCTTTTTTATACAATCTTGGTTTTGATAAGTCGAAAATCTGTCCAATAATTTGTACTTAAAGGTAAGTTGTCAAATATAATATATGCAACAATTTTATCCAACATTTTCAACACGTTCTGGTTTCAGTTTGTCAAGAAAAGTCTCACGAGGTAATTTTATGTGGAATACAATTTTAGTGAAAGGATAATTTTACTTCTAGAAAATAGATCGTAGGAGCTGGATACAAATGCTATGACATAGTAATTGCTGGCAAAAGAAACGTTACATCTTGATTTATGCTAAATGATGAATGGGTGCACCGTAGGAAAATGAAACAAAAGGAAGATGCAAAAAGATGGGAAGTGGACAAGTGTAAAATTTGCTTTAGTGCTATTAATGTGATCCGTATGAATATGTAGATCCCGACCCCGTACATCTCTAATTGTGACAATGGTATACTGAAACTTGCTTGGACATGAATATTCATTTTAACATGAATAAAGTTCTTTTGCCAGAAAATGTTTGACATCTTGGCTGACCTACACTGACACGCACAAGGGACCCGTATGAATAAAAAATGCCAAAAAAATTTCTCCCCTTCCTATTCCCTATTGTGAGTGTGCTATCAAGGTGGGTGTCACCCTCCCTGGCAACATAGCATGATTGTGTTAACTTTAATAACGTGCAATGAAAGAATAAGATGAATTCAAGATAGAGAGAAGAAACAATAATGAAAAAAAATAAATAAAAGCCAGAATAATATATAGTAATGACTTGCTGGATTGAGCTTAATGAACATGACTATTGAGAGAGCACGTGAACAAAATGTGTCCATTATCCTATCCAATCTTGTACAACCCATGTAAGAAACGGGTATTGAAGGTTAACTATATGCTAAAAGGCTGAAGTTGTAATGCTGCCAAAAGTTTAGCAGAAACCACAAGTCTATTTCTAGACAAGTGCCCTTAAATGAATAAAGGTTGCAAGAAAGAGGCAATAAAATATTGAGTTAGGTTCCGAGACTGAGATAATCTAGAATGATTTCTGAAAACAATTGTCTGTCTATATCAGACGGAACTATTAATATGAAGTTGGAATATATTTTATTTCTGTCAAGCCTCACTGGTGGAACTTGAGTTAGGCTTATCCGAAGTGATGGCATCTGATTTCCTCCCAACATTGAAGGCATCAGTGCACTAGAAGTGGGCTGAGTTGATTGTGCATTGTCTTTTATCCAGTGTTAGTCATTGATGGTTCTGATACCAAGTTAGAGTTTCAAAGGAAAACTGAATTGAGAGCTTGATGCTAGAAGAAGAAGATAAGATTTAATTCTTAATGATGGTACGAGTTACAGTGGCAGCAATATATACAAGATGATGGAGTAGTGAGCAAGAAAGGGAGAAACAATTGCATGTGAGGAATCAATATGGTTGCAACAATCTTTGTAGTCCCATAAGTGCACAATTAGCTCACAACCTAAGGCATGAATATTCCAATACACACGGCTGCATTGGAGAGTATTGAACAGTTGATTTACAACTAATTGTATAGCCTTTTGTATGCATTTTAACATCTTCCATCAAGCTGGAGTTCATTCATTTACTCCAACACAGAATAGGAGGTGAAGCAGGCTGCAATTAGATTTCTTTAAGTAGTGACTCAACCCAAGTTATCTCAGCAGAGGCTTGTGCTAGTGCTCTGTACTCTGATTCAGCACTTGATCTTGATACAACCTGTTGTTTCTTTGAAGACCAAGCCACCAAGGTATCTCCTAGATAGACATAGTAGCCAGCTGTTGATTTTCTGTCATCAGGACAAGATGCCCAATCAGCATCAGCAAACCCAGTGATATTCAATCTGTCACTCCTTTGGATCTATAGCCCTTGTTCAATTATACCTTTTAAATATCTGAAGACCCTCTTTACTGCTTTCCAATGAATATCTGAAGGAGTTTGTAGAAATTGACTTAACTTATTTATTGAAAAACTTATATCAGGCCGAGTATGCGCAAGGTATTGGAGTCCACCTATTGTACTTCTGTATAAGAAGGGATCTACCATATTCTCTCCTTCATTTTTGGAGATGCACTTACCCACTGTCATAGGTGTTGTACAAGGTTTAAGGTGCTCAAAGTTAAATCTTTTCAGGAAGTCCTTAATGTACTTAACCTAAGTGAGAAGCATTCCTGATATGAACCTCCTTACTTCAACTCCTAAGAACTGATGTAATTCACCCATATCCTTTAGTGCAAACTGTGTCAAGTTTGTCAACGAAACCTTGTAGCACTTTGTGATCAGTTCCAGTGATTACCTCTGATTCATATAAAAGAACAAGGAGCTATCTGACTTGGTAAACTTCTAGTCTAAGAGAGTTCCTTTAAGGCCATGATACCATGCTCTAGTGGGTTGTTTGAGTCCATAGAGAGCCTTTTCAAGTCTACAAACAAAAGATGGGTTGGCTTTGTGAATGAATCCTTCTGGATGCTTCATAAAAATTACCTCATTTAGCTTTCCATTCAGAAAAGCATTGTTAACTTGTCTAACACTCCAACCCTTTGAGACATCAAGTGACATGATTATTCTTAGAGTAGAGGCCTTAATTACTGGACCAAATGTTTCATGGCAGTCAACTCCTGAGGTTTGTAGGAACCCCTTTGCAACAAGCCTTGCCTTATACTTCAATACTTTCCCTTCAATGTCACATTTAAGTCTAAATACCCACTTGTTTCCTATCACTTTCTGATTGACCAAAGGTGGTACCAATTTCCAAGTCTTGTTCCTTATCAAGGCTTTGTACTCATCCTCCATAGCTTCTTTCCAGTTCTTGTTAGACAAGGCTTTAAGAACATCATTTGGTTCAGTCTTACTTGGTTCCATCCCTTATTCTTTACACCTGTTGTACACTTTTGGTTTAAAAATACCAACTTTGCTTCTGGTAATCATAGGGTGCTCAACATTATGTCTTCTCAGTTCTGTCTCTTCTTGATTTACCTCAACATTTAACTCAGTTTGCTCTGCCTCAATGCTTGCAGTGCCTTCTTGAGTTTCCCTTTCAATATATCCATGTCTAGTTTCTAAAGTTTCATTCTCATTTGCTTCTGGTGCCTCAGTTTCAACTAACTCTAGTGGACTTAGACTGTAAGGTGTTGCTGGTTGAGTTGCATCAGCGTGAAAAGTATCAGATGAACAAGCAGGATCAAGATTAAGAGGAATGTTAAGTGGTAGGTATTGAACAATAGTTTCAGGTGAGTGACTACTTTTATTAAGAAAACCCGATTGAAATGAAAATTCCTTTTCATTGAAGACAGCATGCCTGGACATGTCTTGTAACCTTGAACTAAGACAGTTGTAACCTTTATTTACTGAAGCCAAAGAATACACATTTTGTGGAGTGAAAGCTGAACTTATGAGGCTGGTAAGGTCTTAGACATAAGTGACTTGTAGTTGGTTTGCTCATCATTCAAAACTTGACAAGGTGACTTCATTTGGAGAACTGGTGTTGGTAATTTGTTAATGAGGTAAGTGGCTGTGTGAAATAACTCCCACCAATAGTGGAAGGGCATGCTTGCTTGAGCAAGAAGAGTCAGCCCAGTTTCTGTAATGTGTCGATGTTTTCTTTCAGCTCTACCATTTTGGGCGGAGGTGTAAGGATATGAAAGCGCATGTCAATCCCTGATTATTGAGTTAATTCAGTAAATGCTCTGAACTCTCCTCCCCAATCAGATTGAAGTTTTTTAGGGGCCGTTCTCTTTGTGTTTCAATTTTGTGTTTTGTGTTTTGAATTCATTTTGTATTTTGTGTTTTGAGTGTCTGTTTTGAAGTTTCTGAAAATGCGTTCTTTTTGTCATTCTGAAAAACTGTTTTGAGAAATATGAAAATGGAAAACGCGTTTACTTTGAAATTTTGAGAATATTTTTTTGAGAATATTTTATTCAAGAAATATGATTATTCAATAAATTTTAATAGTTTAAAATTAATATAATATTAAATAACATATAAAATTTGAAGTTAGTGAATTTTGAAGTATTTGTTTCCAAATTTGAAGTTAGTGAATCTTGAAGTATTTGTTTCCAGTATCCACTTCAAGTTTCTGAACCTCTGCATCAAACACACTGCGAATCCACTCCAAGTCCCATCACAAATGTTCAACAAAAAGGTTGAGTGACTCAATAATTTTTCACCCACACTATTTCTAGTTTTATTTCGTTTTGCCCCCACTATATTCAAGCACAACATTAAATTCAGCTAATGCATTTATTCAAATACAAACGAACAAAACCACCGATAACTTGACATGATTCAATTGGCACGACCATACCGACCCGACTTGACCCACTACTATAACATTAGCCATCCAAGAACTGAGATAAAAACAAACATATAATGTCACTAAATTTCAAAACCTAAAGGCTAGCATAACGGCTTAAAATGAAGAAATTCCAGGGGACAAAAAAGATGAATGGTTAATGCAATGCTCAACAAACTTATAAGTACAGCCTGCCAAAATATATGCACCAGTTTTCAGAATTGTGAGCAAAGACTGGGTATATTAAAGGGAAGGAATCAAACTAACAAATACCAAGGCCACAAAAGACAGACCAGTTGATATTGCAAAAGATATTAAACATTTATAGTATCAGCAACACTTGGCTCGGCCACATAAACCTGCTGGAAACACCTCTCAAATGCAGCATCTTTCTCCACATATTTCCTGTACTCCTCCAGAGTTGTAGAGCCAATGCACCGCAGCTGACCTCTTGCAAGCATAGGCTTAAAGAGATTAGCAGCATCCATTGGATCCCTCAGTGCGCCCAGCACCTAACACCAGATGAATTTCATCAATAAATAGAAATACTTTGCCATCATCTCCACCACCTGCAAAAACATCACCCATGGAAGAAGTGCAAACTCCAGCAACTGCAGATGCCCCACCACAAATATCATCAAAAAATACAGAAGACTTGCTTTTGCCACCATCTCCACCACCACTTGCACAAACACCACCTATTGCAGCAGCTCAAACTTCAGAAACTGGAGAGGTCATCCTAAAAAATGAGGAAACGAAGAGATCGGAAAATGATAGAAAATATGTATGGGCAGGCAACTATAGGCCCTTTTATTTGCAAGATTTTCTATGCAATCGAAGAATAGCACTTTGGCTACAAGATGTGGTAAGCATATTTCTCACTTTTCTTATGTTTTTGACCTTTTTCACTACAACAAAAAGGATTGATAGTAAATGTTGAAAATTTCTAGCATAAAGATAATTCTTAAAAATTTCTATTTGTCACCGTTCTATATACCATCGACCATAAAAATGTAGCCAACACCAGATACTCACTATACCATTCACTGACACTATTGCATAGAAATCCATCAACATAAGGTCAAGTTTAATTATTCTGTTATATAACTCAAAATTAGGTAGCTAAAATCAAGTTGCTCTTCATTAACATAGAAAACACATAGAAGAAGTCACAAAATTAAGTTATAACCAAATATGTATTTACCTTGAATAAGAACTGGTGAAATATCAATATGGGCATTATTGTGTGTCAAAGGTAGATGTCCTTCCCACGTTTATAATTTCTTATACATTGATATTGTATATTATATAATCTTATCATATAGGAATGGACTTTGTAATCCAAAGTGTCTTCAAGTGCTGTAAAGCTCAATAAAATTCTTTGAGTATCCTGGATTGATGTCCAAGCAACACTTTTGACATGAATTTTAGAGATTTATATCTTTTTATTTATTATCAACAGGCAAGGGAGGAGTGCAAGGAATTTTATTTGAAGGTGCACTCCATGTTTATATTTACATAATTAAGTGCATGGATAGAAGCTACACTATATTCTCTTCTCCAAATCAATGTATAAATGGCATGCAAAAACATGACAGCTTTTCGTTGTGAAGCTCCAGCAATTAAAGCTCCCATGTCCAACGCTATAAGCCTCACATCAACAAGATTGCTCAGGACATCACCACTAACAATTCTTTGAGCCAATCCCTCAACCACCGCAGTTTTACCAACTCCAAGCTCTCCAATGAGGACAGGGTTATTCTTAGTCCTAGAAAGAATCCTAATAACTCTTCGGATTTCTTCATCTCTGCCAATTACGGGGTCAAGTTTTCAAGCCTGCTCAACAAGTTCACGCCCATAGGTCTTAAGAGCTTGGAACGACGAATCCCCAGAAGCACTCTCCACCTTCCTTGGCATAAATGATACAGTTGAGGCCCACTAGTAATCTACAAAATTACTAATTTCTAGTCCAAAGCTACGCACACACAACGCCTCCATTATATATCTCGAGATGAAAATCAATGCCCACCCTCTCTCTACACGCAGCTTCCCCAATTATAAATTGTATGTAAAGCAATAAACAAAATTTCTTATTGTCTCATAGTAAATGAAATTCAATGAGAATCGAACGACCAATTGTTAGTTCATAAATTCACAAAGTAAGCATGCAAAAAGGTCAAATTTGAGTTAGCATCACAAGAAACAGGCGGAATTACAAGTGATCAAGTGTTCAACCGCTGAAATTAAACTAGGGCTTAAAAAAAGAGCAAATTCCATCAAATCAATTATCAAATTTAATACATAAATTGAAAAATTGCGATGGTGATGAAGATTAAAAAGGTGGAATGCGTTTACCCTTTAATTGGAATCAGAAGCGGCGATCTAAATTGCGGAATCGTAGTTAATGATGGGACGAATAATTGGTGAATTTACCTTGTCATTAAGAAGGATTTGTCCAACGTAATCGTCGTCTTCACCACATCAAATCACTCTTTAGAGGGTTGGAAAGAGACTGCTCTATTGTTTTGGCAGAAGAAGGAACGGTGGTGGGTTGGAAATGGAAAAGGTCGTTTCCCGTGTTTTGGAGTTTTTGGCTTGAAAACTCCAAAACGATGTTTCTATCATTTTGCGTTTTGTGTTGAATTTTTTTTTCATTTTCAAAAACGCGTTTTCACTGTTTTCAAAAATCGAAAACAAAAAAAGATCCAAAATGGCAAAGAGAACACAACCTTAATTTTCCTGTTAAACTTGTTTTCAACTAGATTCTTGAATTGAATAAAGGAGTCAAAGGCTTCTAATTTGGTTCTCATAGGATATATCCCAAGTATACCTACTGTAATCATCTACAAATAGAATGTAATACTTGAAGCCAAGGTAGATTGTAAAGGTGCTGGACCCCAAACATTCATGTGAATCTAGTCAAGGGGGGGCTGATGAGTATGAGGTAGAAAGTTTGAAAGGCAGGGAATGCGCTTCGCCAAGTTGACATGCATCACAAAAAAGATTAACTTCATTCATATCGAGTTTTTCATTACAGAGTTTAAGCACTTGAGACATCACAGAACCTGAAGGATGTCCAATCCTCATGTACCATAATTTCAATTTAGACTAATACTTTGTGGCACTATTGGATTGAACGACAAAAGCTAAAGAGTTAGACTTATTTGAGTGAACTGAGTTTGAGAAAGGAAGCCTGTTAGTTCAATCTGATATAGTCCATCCTTAATTCTCTCTTCCAGCAGCACCTCTTTCGTCTCTTTGTCCTTAACAACATAAAAATTAGAATGAAATTCCATAAATACACCATTGTCAAATGTTAATTGTGAAACACTTAACATATTTTTCTTGATTGAAGAAACTAGCAGCACATCACTAAGAACTAGTGATTTGTTGTTTCGTGTGTTGAGGTGATTTGTACCAATGTGAGAGATGTGGAGTTTGTTACCATTACCAACAGCAAGAGTTTCCTTACCACCATATTCGTGCTTCAATCAGATTTCCATTATCAGCTGTGACATGATTACTAGCACCTGAGTCTGCAAAACCAAGTTGATCCGCCACAGTCCTAGAAGAGGCTATAAGAGCAGACGTTCTGAGGCATAGCCAAACCTTCTTCCTCTGTTAGTATTTGAGTTGTGAATAAAATTAGCTGAGGCTTCACTTAAGTTGACTGAGGCTAGACTGCTTTTCAGAGTGCTAAAATGTTCAATTCTGCTCTCATAAGTCATGAGCATAGACTGCAATTCATGCTAGGATATGGACTCTCTGCTGTTAATTTGAACTACTACTATAGGGGTATACTCTTCATCCAATCCAGCTAGCACTTGAGTAACGAGATCACTGTGAGGGATGATCTTACCAGTAATTTCAAAGTTGTCTGCTAGCTGTTTGATTGTGTTGAGATATTGATCAACACTCATTGCTCTCTTCCCAGTTCTTTGAAGTTCACTAACGAGGAAGGTAACCATTGATTTGTTCATGGCTCCAAAGTTTTCCTAAACAGCATTCCAGAGATCAAAGGATTTGGATGATCCCATTACTCTCGTTACAATTTCTAGTGTCATTGATGAGTATAACCAACCCATCAATAGTTGATCAATTGACATCCACTTTCCAAACTCAGGATAGGAGCCATTTCAATTGTGACTCCAGTCGTACAAGTGGTTTGTGTTGCTAGGAACACTGCGGGACGGCTTCTAGTTCCTGTGATGAAACCTTCCAGACTATGTCCTTTTATGATTGGCATCACCATATTTTTCCACAACAAAAAATTATTTCTGTCAAGCCTCACTGGTGGAACTTGAGTTAGGCTTATCCGAAGTGATGGCATCTGATTTCCTCCCAACATTGAAGGCATCAGTGCACTAGAAGTGGGCTGAGTTGATTGTGCATTGTCTTTTATCCAGTGTTAGTCATTGATGGTTCTGATACCAAGTTAGAGTTTCAAAGGAAAACTGAATTGAGAGCTTGATGCTAGAAGAAGAAGATAAGATTTAATTCTTAATGATGGTACGAGTTACAGTGGCAGCAATATATACAAGATGATGGAGTAGTGAGCAAGAAAGGGAGAAACAATTGCATGTGAGGAATTAATATGGTTGCAACAATCTTTGTAGTCCCATAAGTGCACAATTAGCTCACAACCTAAGGCATGAATATTCCAATACACACGGCTGCATTGGAGAGTATTGAACAGTTGATTTACAGCTAATTGTATAGCCTTTTGTATGCATTTTAACATAATAGGACCGGTGGAATGTTATCCACAAAAAGTTAAGTTGGATCAGATCAGGGCCGGTTTTGGGGTGAGGCAAATGAGGCCGTCGCCTCGGGCCCAAAACCGAAGGGGGCCTATTTTTGGCCCACTTTCTCTCTCTCTCTAAGGAAGAAAAGGGGACAATCTGGTTTTCATTCTTCATTCTTACCTCCTGCTTGACGGCGCGACCGACTCCTCCAACTCCAATCGGACCGGCGACCAGGCGACGACGTCATAAAACATGTAAGTAAAGTAGTGGGTGGATGGATGACCTTGTGGCGAATAATGAAATCCTCTTCCTGCTCCATGAAGAAGGCATTGAATTTTTCGATCTCATTGTTCAAGCAGTACATGAACTCCTTGTCGGCCTTTGGAGCAGAAGAAATCAATCTCACAAGTTTCTTCAATTCCTTGTATGTCGGAAATTTATTCCGCCAATCCGGCAAACTCTGTTCAATTTGCCGCTTCAATCTCTTCCCGAACTTCATCAATCTGCACCTATGTGTTTGATAAAATATATATATATATATATATTTTTGCAGAAATCGTGAAATGGAGGGTGGTTTTAATGGGGGTGAAAAGGAGATAATTTTTAGAAGGCGTATGCTTGGCGTGATGAAGTTACGGTTAGAATGAATCCCAGCATATTCGACTAACACAGTCAGTCGGTCATACTTGTGACCAAATCACACTAAATGACTTTTCTTCTCTTCAATTAATGTCAAATTTAGGCGCTGCACTTGGGACCCATATTGAAATACGATAAGGCAGACTTTTAATCACACCATTGAGATTATACTATTCAATTTTCTCAGATGCACTTCAATTACCTTTTTGAAAAAGTTTTGTTTTGCAGGAGAAGCAGGCGGTTATTATTGAAAATATGAGTAGAAGCAAGCGGTAATGTACTACCACTATGAAAGGCCTAGAACTTTTTAGTAAAAAAATATGTTGCATCTGATTTTGAATTTCATATATTATGTTTTTGAAGTAGTCTTCACATCCCAAATATTGGTGGTTAATGTTAAATATTTATTTCAGGCTTGTGAGTTGTGATGATGGAATTCTCAAGGGTGTGATACCATGATTTCATAATTTTCCTCAAAATTCTACTTCTTAGGTAAGCGATGGCTTGCCCTAAATTGTTGTTTAATATATTAGAAAAGTTTGAAGCTTTGTCGGCTTATATGATTGGTTATTGTATGATCAATTGCACAGGCACACGTAGTAGTTATATTGAAAACTTTTAACTGTGAGATGATTGAGATATTTTGTAATTGTCTTTTAGGTTAATCATTGGACATTATATATAGATTCATACACTATGCGTAAGGTTAATCATTGAGATATTTGTTTATTGTTTTACCGTTAAATTTTAAGTTAGAAATATGTTGTATAATACACTTGATTTTATTTTTTTTTTGGGGGGAGGGAGGCCTAATTTATGGAGTTCGCATCGGGCCCCAAAAATCACAGAACCGGCCCTGGATCAGATCTCATGTGGGCATTTTTTGGACCTTGAGACAGGATAAGAAGTTGAATGGAGTGTGGCTTTTCATCTCATTTATATATACACATGGGCGGACCCAGGGGGGGTCCTGGGGGGCACGTGCCCCCCAACTTTTGTGATTCTTTTTTTTTTTTTAAATCACGTTTGCTATCGATTGAAATTTAAATTTTAATCTAAATCAAAGTTAACAATTAATTTTAATAACATATTTCATGAAATCCATAACTGTTTAATTTTAATCAAAATTTACTAAAAATTTGATTTTAATTTCCACCAAACAGGGGCAAAATCAAAATAAATTTGAATTTTGAAATATACTAATTTTAAAAATTCTCCAACGATTGTATGCTAATCGAATCTACACATTGCTTATATCATTTCGAAGTTTATTTCAAGAACTATATTATGGACATATTGAATAGTTCAAACATATATCGAAAATAGTTAAAAATACGTTAAACGTGAGCCTTTAAAAAGACGTCTAACTCTCATTTACAAAAACTTAATTATTTCATTAACATTTATTATTTTTGAGTTACAAATTGTTAAATGTAATTTTCATCATTTAATTAGAAAATTTTCAAAAAATTTCAAAATTTTATATCTGAAAAAGTCATATCCCATGTAAATTTTCGGATGTAAAATTACATGGGGTATGATTTTTTTGGGCGTAAATTTTCGTTGTAAAATTTCTTCCAACTTCTTTACAAGTTCGATTGTGCCCCCCCAATGTAAATGTTCTGCGTCCGCCCCTGTATATACACAACTTTGGATTAATTAATGTTAAATCTTCTTGATGATAAATTCGTATTTATCTTCTACAAATACCATTCAGACCTCTGAAACTCTTGTTTGCGACTAAATTATGAAACACACGGTTTGCTGCAACTATAATGTAGAGAAAATTTCTACTGAGTTAATTACCTTTTTGCTTTCGATACAACCCTTTTTAAGCTAGCAGTTGTTTTCGGCTGACCTATAATTTGGAAATAGGACCCTACCCGACTCAATAGGTTTGAGATCCTCTACAAGAACTAATAGTGTCTTTTTACTTCCTCTGTAGATTTTCTGTGGTGGGATACTACCAAGTTGGGGAATACACCTCATGCAGTAGACAACAAGAATATTTGAGGAAATTCTTCTTGACTTAATCTGGTAAGCAGGATTACATAAGAATTAATAATACAATAAATAAGATTTTAACTTTTTCTTATTCTCTACTATTATCTAGTGTTGTACTGTCCATCTTACCTAAGAAACCATTGAGAGTACCAACCATACAACATTTACAGGGCCACATGGACACTGTACAGCCATTATAATCCTTGAGAGTACTGAAGGAAATTCCTCTTATTGTCCTTGTCATTGTAAAAATTCTCTTGGTCTGTCTAGTAATCATTGAGGCTGCTTAAATAACTTCATCGTTGCTTCTCCGTGTGTTAAGCATGACCTTATCTATTTTACTAAAAATGAAGACTAAAAGTAAGGGGACGTAAGGACTGATTTTAAGTAAAAGAAAATAAAACAGAAGAAATACAAAAATAACTCTAGACGGACTGATAATAATCATTTTTCAACGGGTTCTTCTTCCTACTACAAGTGAGAAATCATCAGGTTCTTCAAAGAATTGAGAGTCTTCAATGAAATGGCTTTTGTCTATTGTGAACTTCACGATGAGTGCTTCTACTGCATCTGTCTCATCCAATGGTTTTAATTACACAACAGACCCTACCAATAGGGAGACGCCACTTGCTCTCCTGTTCGAGCAGGGTTGATGTCGCCCTATTCGAGTAGCATAGCCTCAATAGATATTGTTGTCTGGTAAGGTATAGAGTCAATTTCTAGCCAAGATTCTCCAGATTTCATGAAAAGAATGACAAATCCTTAATGAACATAAAAGTACCATAGCCTTTATTAGTTGTTTTCTTGATAAGACAGAGGAACCAATGCCCGAATATGAAGCACACAAAGTATTACTTCAAGAAATATATATGGGGAGTGTTCCGTCAACCAATATATTTGAAGTTATTTTTGACAAAAAATCTAAAATCTTAAATTTATAAAAATCTAGCCCCGTTTGGGACCCATTTTTTGATGTTATAATTTTTGGAATATTATTTTTTTGGAGAATGTGAGGTTGAAAAGGAAGGAAAAGTTTTTGTTTATGTGTGATATTATTTTGTTGGTGAATGTGTGGTTAAAAAAAAGAGATAGAAACATGTATTATAAATTAATGGGGCCTAACGGTTTCCATCAATTATATTAAATTCTTTAAAAAATTATACTTCCACATCCAAACATAGCATGCTTACCATCTAAAATCACCAATTACCTTTTCATAATCAATTTTTCCCCAGAAAAATCACACAAATATCTCAGTAAAAGCCCTTTGAGTTCAGGCAATTTCGATTGAGAAAGATTTTCAATCTGATAAGAATCAAAATCACATGAAACTGCGTGATTGAGAGTAGGATTAAGATGGAGGGATAATACTTGATTTGGGAGATTTTGAATGGGGGGTAGAGCAGCATGTGGATTTTGGTGGGGTGCAGCAACAACAGATGGTTTCAAATGTTAGGCCCAATTTTGGAGGAGAGTAATGGTGATCATAAGCTTTGGTTGATTGGAACAACAAGATGTGAAACTTATTTGAGGTGCTAGGTTTATCATACTACAATGGAAAATTATTGGTACTTGAAGGCGCATTGCTTCACGATCGCCTCTATCATGGACATTTCCGAGGTACATTCTGTCATTAATCTATATGTAATGGTTCTTCAAACTATTTAACTAGACTTTCAACTGAAGCCACCGTAGAATTGTTTGTGTACATGATGATTAAAATCTTTGTGTATTGATAGTTTGCAACAATAGTATCTTTCAATTCTAAGGAATCAAAAGTCTTTGTACATGTTCTTAGGAAATATTTTATTAATCTTCTTTTTGTTCAATGACGCATCTTGTTGGAGAACGGTTATCTTTTGGGAGAAGTGTTTTCCTTTCTTTTATAGTTATCATTCATATCAGTTTCAAAATTGATCTGCATCTTAAACTCGGAATTGAGAGAATTTTGAGCACTCCTATAGAATCATTGACTTCATTGAAGAAGTTCCAATTCGACAGCGGGTATTGACACAGCGTCTTTCAAAGAACTTGGATACTACTCATAAAACACCATTTAGCTCGAGATGTTCAGAGAATTATGAAAAGTTTTAAAACCTCTCAATGTTGACGAATGTAGATGACCGTCTTTTTACTTATTTTTTTAATTAAAAACGTTGTATACGTATTGCATTTGTACTCGAACTCGATGTTGACGAATGTAGATGACTTTGATTGCTATATGCATCGTGATCTTATATTTAGCATCATATTTAAGTGAATGCTGATGAAACTAATCTGCATGTCGAGGCAATGTTCTATAATTTTATTGTGTTGAGAGGTAGTTTATCGTAGGGTTGGATGTGGTCCGGTCCGGTTCGGTTCGGGTATTTAGTAAATGGAACCGTCGGGTTCAAATTTAATTATGAAATTGTTCCGTTCAATTCAGTTCTAGGATTCCGTACAATAATTAATTTTTTTTATATATTTACAACAATGCTACATTAATTCAACTAATGACGTGTTCAATTTTACCTCTTACAAAATAACGTAGTCCAATCCCGTGATATCTTTTGCATCGCTCTTTTTGCTGAGTTCTCATAGATTTGACAGTTAAAATCACAGGAAAAGGAAGATAGCGACAAAGAGGGGCTTCCAATTCGATTTCTCCAGATAGAGATAGAAATGACACTATGGTAAAATAAGAGATTTTGGTAAAATTTAGGCCGATTTGACTAACTGGACTTTGGCTGAAAATTAGAAATAGGAAAAACAATCCAATTGTCTCATAGCAATCTTCAAAGTATCTTCTTGAGTATTTGTAATTTGATCCTCGAACTTTGGATTTTACCATTTTTCACCATATTTTGCTTCTTT